AAAAGCAAGTTCAAGTGTACGAAATGACACTATAAATCTATTACTGTATACAACAATCGCTTCATAGTTTTTAGCCAAGCTCATATTGGCGGACAAGTTTGTTGTTTTATTTATAATCTGTTGTGAACCTTGTGATTAATTATGATTAAATGAATATGGTGTTTGAACTAATGACCGTTTGAAAGTATAATCACCCGATTCACCCAAGATGCATATACGTTGCACATTGCAACATAAACTCTTCCAACCGAGGCCCATAAAAGGAGCACAAGGACCAAGGGAATGGAGACAGAAATCATTGAGAAGAGCCAAAGAAAAGTTGAGAGAGAGAGAGAGAGAGAGAGTTGAAGCGCTGATGAAAAATAAGAATGGAAGTCTTCTTCCAAGTCAAAATTCAACGACGAATTGTAGTTGGTTCTCTTTTATGGACATTTCATTTTATGCAATGAAGTCTTCTATCTTTATTATTTTACAAAAAACGATAGGATGATATTTCATTCATCAAAATACAAACAAGTATAGCTGTGCCAATTGAGTGCATGAGCTTGAGTGACCAACAAATTGAACTGGAGTGAATTTACACATTTAATTACGAGAACCTTTATACGACTACCACAAACACATACACATGTCACCAGTATAATTCTGTCGCAAAATAACGATAGATGCAACGTATCTTTATCGGCAACCACACGGTGATTGTTAACGAACGAGACCACATAAAATCATCGTTGGAAGACAAGACCGCATAACTCATTGCTCAATGATAACGACAACATACATCCATCGTAGAAGCGCGACCACGATACGACAACTATGCTCCTCTGAGAAGGGAATCATTGGCATCTAAGTGAAGGATAAAGACATTTTATCCAACGCCATATATAGCTTCACTGCACTACTTAGATCCAATGTTTCTATGAGTCACCAAATCAAGTCAAACTGTCACACAAGCTGGCGAGCCACCATCTCTGAGCGTAGAAGGCGGCAAAGCCACCAAATCTGAACGCCCAAAGCGGCAGAGCTGCCAGATCTTGGCACATAAGGCGGTATAACCACATAATCGGCCAATAAGAGCATCACCACCGTAGAATCACGCAGAGGAAAATGGATCCAACCCTCAAGCAGCCACAAATCCAACTTTAATCTCACTCTTTGACACATCCTAACCTAGAATGTCTACTTGGACTCTGAATCGAGCTGTGCTAGCTGACACCAGGAAGGTGACGAAGCCATAAAGTGTAGTGATGTAGAAAATGTGAGTAAATTTAAACCTAAAAGTGACTAAATAGAAGAGTGCACATGTGAGTGAGAATGAACCCATTTCACACGTGATGTCCGAGTATAAATAAAGTACAGTAAAAGTAGGATAAGATTTATACCATCAAAGGTATTCTCCTACACCCACATTTGCCAAGAATATTCATCGACACGAAAGTTCTGCTACTAAAACCTGGAAGGGTGAAAAACAAGGATGAGTGGGCCTAAAAATAAAAATTTGTAAAACCTTTTCGACAAAATGTAATAACCTCTCGCCGTAAAACAAGTATAGTTTCCAAATATAACATACTACGTAATGTATGAAAATACTTACCGTAACTAGCAATACTTCACAATAATTCATGAATAAACACATAACTTCCAGTAATCACAATATCTCACATAAATGAACATACCATATTGAGTGCTTATCGACATATGCTGACACACGAGTTCATGCAGAGATATTCTAACATGAACAAGACTAGGTGTAATAATGGTTTATGATATAGTACTACAATCATGTGAAGATTGGCACTATGCGCATCACATACAAGTCCTAATTGTCTATAGCAAACTAGGACAGGACTAGCACCTACAATGGATCCAAAGTGAGCGTACGGTGCGATGTGAAAATACACATGAAGCCTATCTCAGGCCCAGACGAGTACAGACACCAGCGTAGCACATGATGAGCAAATAACGTAAATAAAGTCATGTCACAATGATTCGATAATTCTAGTCAACCTAATACTATTCATAGCCATAAATCTAATTAAGGAATCCCGTAAGATTTGTAATGATTTCCTAATTCTCATCATTATGACATTTCTTATAAACGTTAATTTAATTACAACATCACATAGAAAATTCGTTATTAGATGTATGTATGGAAACTAAACAAAATTGACCAAAAAAAAAAAAGGAAACTAAACAAATATATATAGTATATAAAAGAAAAGACCCACTCACAAGGTCGTAGCTGTTCAAACTAGGAAAGCCGGAGTCTTTGATAATAATCCAACCTAAGCATAGTATTGGGAACCATTAGTAAAACTCAACCAAAACAATTAAATTTGGAAAAATGGAGTGCGGAATTGGAATCAGGGCATCGAAATATGCTAAAAAGGGTCCCTAGCAAATTTTGTAAAAAGTCAATAGGAAAGTCAACGGTCAACCAAAAAGTCAACCAAGACATCGAGCTGGTCAACTATGTTAAAACTTCGAAATTTCACTAAACAGATGCCGAAAACAAACTTAGGGCATCAAAATTAGGCTATGAGGGTTATGAGAAAATTTCAAAAAAGTTAACACAATGACTATTCTAGAGAATATTCCAAGAATAATCCAAGAATATTTCGGATCCATTTCAAAAATGGGTCGGGTCGAATCCTGAGTTCGAATCGGATTAGGTTTAGGCTTCAGTTCTTTTTAGCAAGGTGGGTTGACCCATTTGGAAATGCGGTCGCACAGCACTCACCGGACCCAGCAAGGAGAAAGCTAGAATTGGGCAAGAAATCCAAGAGCTCGGATCAAGCTTGAACAAGGTTCTAAAAAATGCTAGGCGCTAGTCGGGCGGTGGGCTAGCGCCTAGCACCTAGGTGGCTAGGCAGGGTCTAGGTGGGCGCCTAGGGGGCCTAGGCGGATTTAGGTAAATTTCTTCTATATTTTGTAAATAAATGCATATTGACATTTACAAAAAAAAAAAAAAATTCTTGTATATCTTGGAATAAATATATTATATACCATATAAATTAGTTAAATTTATTTTATAGTAGATGATTAAATATTGAGGAATACGTTATTAAAAAAAAATATACATATCTAAACATAAGAGTATAATATAAGCTGATCTTATTCTGATCATAAAAAGAAAAATAATATAATGCAAGAGTGTAATATGGTGTTGTTTTAAAAAGAACAAATAATAAAATATTATCTAAATATTTTATATAATTTATTTATTAGGGATAGTGGGTAATTATTGTTTACCCCCTTTATTTTGTGATAAGGCAGAGGCTAAGCATCTTTTCAGAGCCAGACTTTTCCACTATCCTTGCCGATTTTATCTCTCCGCTCCATCTTCTTCTTCTTCATCTTTTTAGATTTTCTCCTTTACCTCATCTTATCCGTTTCTATCCCTCCATTTTCTTCTTTCCTGAAAACCCACAAATCAAACATCGAAAATATCTCCCTCTATCCCTCCAATTTAAAACAACTCCCTCAATCCCTTCATTTCTCCACCGCACATCTCCTCTATCCACCACCACACTTCTCCGTTTTCATGCACAAAAGTCTGGGGTTTGCAATAGTGGTCAAATTTGAGATGCAGCACGACGAGGGACATCTAGATGTTCTGGGTTTGCAGTTTGCACAAACACAGAGCAAAGAGACGAGGAACTGCCTACCATGCCGCCTAGCACCGCCTAGTGCCGCCTAGCACCGCCTAGTTGGCTGCCTAAACCCTCTCCATTTTATTGAACGGTTTGCCCAAAATCACCACGGAAGCTCAACGCCCAACGCCTAGGCGGCTGCCTAGGCCAATTTTTAGAACATTGAGCTCGAAACACAACTAAACTCAACAATTTATATATGGATTTGAAGCTCGGAGAGAGAAGAAGAATTTTATACCAAAAATCAAGTTTAGCAGTGGTCGAGATCAGCCAAAAAAAGCCTGCAAAGCTCAATGTTTTTCGCCGGAAAATCTAGGAAGTCTTCCTCGCAACGTTTATGTACCAAAACCCTTAGGAAAGCTAGAAACATATACTAAAACATGATCCAAGAATTTTAGGTTGTTTTCAAAGCTTACCCTCGTTTGAAATTTGAGAAATCGCTGGAAAACATGACGGAGAGTTAGAGAAAGAGAGTCTTGAGGGTTAGGAGAAGAGGCCACGTGGAAGAGAGGGAGAGGTGAGTTTGAAGTCGGTGTAGGCCCCACGGGCTAGAAAATTAGTAAAAATTAAAAATTTCCTATCATAAAACATTAAAATAATAATATAATAATCATGAAAAATATAAAATAGTAATTTTTACAAAAGTATTTTTCAGATTCGTAGTTCTGTAAAATCTCAATCGTAACTTCGATTTTGATTATGTTTGTGCTTACGCATTCGTACTCTCAAATACTTCAAGAATACAGTAAAATAATAGCTTATACATGTCACGAAATGACGATCAACGAAAGTCAACAATCTCACATTTAGAGGCATTGTTGTTATTCTATTTTTAAAATTAATAAAATCGTAAAATTAAGGACAGGGTATCACACTCTCTCTTCCATTTCTCCCTCACTTTGCACACTCTCTTTCCCTCAAACTCTCCTTCCCTCTACTCTTTAACTCTTTATTCTCTATGAAAACACATAGAAACCTGCAGAAACCACCACCAATTCTCCTCGTTTATTTGTCCTTCCCAAAACCCAGAAATAAATACCACGAGTTTGAAACCGAGCTCGAGGCCTTACACAACACAGTGGCTTCTGCACTGATCAGAGAAAGTCCACACCTAAAAAAATGTGTCAACATCCAGTCTATTTAATCCACTCAATAAATAATGATAAACCCCAATGAATAGTAATAGACCAAATGTATCTCTACCGCTAAAACTAAAATGCCTAGTAAATTTTATTAAAATATTATTAATTTTTATTATAAATAATAAAAATTAATCCCCCTCTCCCTCACAATCTTCAACCTCACCTTAATCCCTCTCTGACTCACCCGATTTCCATAATCCAATCCACACCCACACTCCGAAACGACGCCATCAAACCCACCAAACTTTGAACACTGACAACGACCACCCTCTTCCCCACACGTCTCGCAATCACACCCAGCTGTGCCTTTCCCCGACTCACCCACCCAACGCACCGTTTCGACATCGATTTCACCAGCCGAGTTCGGTCCCTGCGCCAAGCAATCGGAGCCCCAAGATTGGCGGAGTGGAAATCTGGAAGAGGAATGAGGGATTTGAGATGGGGTGTAGATGAAGAAGGTGTACGGGTGTCTATCAACGGAGTTATGGAATAGGATCAGATGAGGTTCCAGGGATCGGGAGATGTCGGAGGCACAACAGAGAGTGATTGAGGTAGAGATTGCGCGGAGGGTGGTGCAGGTGAGAAAGATGATGGCGAGTTCTTGTGGAGTTAGCCATGGCGTCAGATGGGCTATCCCATGGGTTTGTCGATTCTGGGCCGGCGTATGGCCTGGCTTGGGCTAGGTGCCAACCTATTAGGCTAGGGTGGAATTGCTCTCATTGTCTTCCTCGATGAAATCTCGGCGAGTTCTCGATGACTAAGGTAAACCTCGAAAATTGATGCCAATCATCTTATATGGTTGTTCTGTGTAAGATTATAATCTTACATGTGAGAAATGATGGGGTTTTGGTGTAGATCGACTTAAGGGAGAATCCTTCCTAGTTTTCCGGTGTTTCACCATGGATTCCAGGCCATTTTTAAGTCATCTTCGCCCACTATTTGACCCCATTTTGTTACTTTTTAGGTCATCTTCGGCCACTATTTGACCCCATTTTGTTACTTCTCCTCATTTCCAGTTTAAATCCATATATTGCATGCTAAATATGGTTGTGAATCAAGCTTGGGACGAGGTTTGGAAATTTGCCCATAAACTGGCCGATTCATAGGTCTTGCCAAACGAGTATGCATGTACGGATTGCATGTTTGATATACGTTCTAGCTTGAATGCTACAAGTAGAATACGCATTAGGAAAACCTAACATTCAAAGTTGCATGTATAATTCTTAAGTAATTAGTAAACCACATATGATTGCTAAGGTGACAGCGGAACACTAGTGTTCTTTTATCATTGTTTTCCAAAATTGCTTTCTTTCAAATTGGTTTCTTTAATTATTTTCTTTAAGTGTTTTTATTAAAATTAATTTTAGTTATTTCAAAATTCAAAATCAATCTTTTTTCAAACTTTGTTTTCAAATAATTAATTAAGATTTAATTTTTACATAAATTATTCATTTAATCCCTGTCGATAACGACCTTGCTAGAATCAACTATAGTACGATTATCTTGTAATTTTCCAAGTATTTTTAAGTGTTTGTTATCTCTACTTTTGCAGGTGGTAAAAATGCTATCAACAAGACACCCAAAGACCTTCAAGTGGCCATAAGAGGGGAATTTACAATTTACGATACCATTTTTCGAAAGGGGTTTTTTTTTTAAAGAAGAAAAGTAGGTAAACATTTAATCAAGTAAACTGTTGTGTAGAAACAATCCTCCCATAAATGAACAGGAAGATGTGCTTGAAATTGTAAAACCCCAGTGACTTCAAGGATATGGTAGTGTTTGCACTCGACTACCCCATTTTGTTAGATTATGGACACAAGTATGTTAGTAAATGGTCCCTTGTGCAAGGAAAAAATCTTTCAACGAAATGAACTCTCACCCATTGTCCACACGGATGTTTTGGATAGTAGTATTAAAATGGGTGCGGACGATAGAAGAAAAGAATTTAAGAGGAAACCCCAAGTGAAATGGGAATAATCATCCACTATAGTAAAAAAAGAGTGTGCCCTAGAAATGGTAGGAATTTTGTGAGGACCTGAAATGTCACAATGAATAAGGGAAAATGATCTTGAAGTTGGGATGAACTAATGGGAAAAGGAAGTTTGTTTAGCCAAATGACAAGCATCACACACCATTATAGTGCGTAGAACAATTTAACAATGATCTTTAATGATGACTTGGCTAAAAATTGCAAACAGGTAGAAGAAAAGTGTCCTGAATCACGGTGCCACAAAATTAGTAAAAGAAACTGCTAGGTGACAGGTTGGGAGGGGGATGGAAGGTGCTTGGTCAGATGCTAACGCCATGAGATAATAAAGTCCGCTACGTTCTTTGCCCAACAAAATCGTCGCCCTCGTAGCCAAGTCTTGCAAAATACATCCATGAGGAAAAAAAAGTCATTGAACATTGTAATCCTTTTGTAAGCCTACTCATAGACATAAGATTAAGTTGAAAGGTAGGTGACGAGTTCATATTACAATATATATTTTACCCTACTCTTAGTATTAATTTATTGGTTATTTTGACAAAGTTTTGATACTTTTTAATTTATATTTCTAATGTAGGACATGCGATTTCCTCTTGAGCAAAATGTGACCAAATAGATGAATCTTGAAATGATTCCAATTGGAGGATGTTTGTGAGTCTCTTAGCTTGTTCATATCGAATTTTTAGATTTTTCTACCAAGCTGATAATTTATGGCGATGAAATAAAGGAGCAACGCGCAGTGTTGTCAAACTGACGTTTTGGGCTTATTTGGGCTTTTTGGCATTCAATATGATGTCTTTTAGGTATGAGACGTTCTAAAATTATGTTCGGCACATCTCAAGCTTTAATTTAAGTCATTTTGGAGCATATTTGGAGCATTGAAGGTTCATAAACGTGGCTGATATGTGGCTGGGCAGATTTCCCATATTTGATTAGGATTATGTTTCCTAGTTTCTCTTAAGTTATTTTGTTTCCTACTTTTTGGAAGAACTTTTCTACGGAGATAGTAGGTAAGGAGAGACATATGAACTGTGCATTTAAATTTAGTGGTTGAATCTTTCATATTTGCCCTTCTGTCTGAATGAATCTTTGTGACACACCTTAACCTAGATATCCAAATAACACCTGGATGGCACGTGCTGGCCGACACTCGAGAGTGACGAAAGCCATAAATATGTGGATATGCAAGAACATAAAGAAATAGGTTTTTTAGCCAAAATGGTCACTGAGATTTTCATAACACATAACTTTGGTCCCTGAGATTTAAATTCAATAAAAGTGGTCCCTAAGATTGTCCACCATCCATTATTTTAGTTATTCCATTAAAAAACTCCATTAAGTGGTCCCTGAGCTTTTTAACGGAATGAACAAAATGATGGATGGTGGACAATCTCAGAGACCAAATTTATGTGTTATGCAAATCTCAGGGACTAAAATTATGTGTTATGCAAATCTTAGGGCCCAAAGTTATGTGTTATACCCTTAACTTAACGGAGTTTTTTAACAGAAGGACCCAAATAATGGATGGTGGACAATCTGATGGACCACTTCTATTGATTTTAAATCTTAGGGACCAAAGTTATGTGTCATGCAAATCTTAAGGACCATTTGACTAAAAAGCCTAAAGAAATATGTAATCTAAAGTCACACAACAAACAACAATCATCATGAACACAAAAATGCTAAAGAAATAATAATAATAATCTGAGTTAATCCTAAGCGAAACAGGATGTCCAATAGTCACAATCTGAAGGAAAAGATGCACGTATATGTCTAGAGCAAACCATTAAACGAGAGTACTAGTGAAATGAATGACATTAAGCTAAATTTATTCATAAAGAAGCCATATGCAAGCGGAAGAACGCAAGTTCACTAGTAAGGAAATGCCTCGAAGCTCGGGTCATATTCCTCGTCACTAGATCCTGAAGGGGACGCAAAAATAAAAGGTGAGTGGACCATAGTTTATACTAGTAGTAATGGTAAGAAACCGTTTTATTTCTGAACATACTAATACCTTGTTTTGAAAACATATAAAGTACTACATAATAGGTTTTTCTAAAAACTCTAACATGCCAAAAATGTTTGTAAACAATAAAATCATCTCTAAAAGTGATATCGAAACACCCGAAGGCAAATCCAAAGAGAATCTTGTAAATAAAATCAATAATTTACTCAACTAGGGGTATCATAGTCACCTGAAGGCATAAGCATCACCCAAAGGTGAAGCTGTACGACATTGGATTACGCCGATGAAGAAATATGGTAAGTCTCATCACCTAAAGGCAAAGTTGTACGACTCTTAGTTACACCAGAGAAGAAATATTACATAACACGTCAACACTAGCCGTGGCTAGTGAAGCTGTCCGATAGTGGTTTTGCCAGTGAAGCTGGGAGTATGTAATAATATCTCACTGCTTCTCAACTATGTCCTATGGCCATAGATGTATACATACTCAGGTTGTGTCTATGTACTGTATGATTACCCACTAGATAAGCACCGAAAAAAGTAACCCAACTCTCATACCAAGTGTAAAATACCAAAACCTCATCATCCGAAATCATAAAAAATTTCAAAACGTGATTTCTGTAAACATGCCATTTTATAAACCTTAAATAGATAAATAAACAATATTTCATGAAAGCGAATCAAATAAATCATGAATTCTCATAAAAGTGAATCAAATGAATCATGAATTCTCTAAAAATCAGACTTAATTCATGAAATATGAAATGCATACAAGCCTAATATCTTTATAAAAACATGCAATTTAAGAAAGGCTCCGCTCATAAATATTCCGCTACCGGAGAGCCGATCGAACTAAGGAGGATGGAATCACTTTCAATAAATGCACCTAAACACAAATAGGGGCCATTTATTAAAACTCTACTAAAATGGTCAAATTTGGAAAAATGGACGACGGATTCAAATTCGGCACATCGAAAAACGTAGGGAGAGATCTCAGGTTCCCCTAAGCGCCACCAAAGGATGGCCGCTCGAATCACCACGCGCCACCCCACGTGCTGAGATGCATCGCCTAAACATTCGCCAGCGCCTCCGTGGACGATGACAGAGCATAGTGCCTTTGCACGGAGGTGCATGCACTCCACACGCTGGCCATGACAGCCTCACGCGCCGTGAGTACAAGCGTATTCGCCTTCCTCGACTTTCTGGAATTTTTCCTTTAACTTCAAGAGCTCATTTCCGACCACGATTTCGAGTTTTCCAGAATTTGCACAGTGAGTTCCCTTGTGTTTTCCGTGTGCCTACACCACCAAAACCAGCCAAAAACTTACTAAACATGAACCTAGACATAATCTACAATGGTAGGGACCAATTTGGAGGCTTACCTTTGCTGGAGATGGTGAGAATTCGCCGGAGAATTCATTGCACAATAACTGCACTGTGCAGCGAGAGTACGGAAGTTTCAATGGGTTTTTCTTTCAAATTTTTGGTTCAAGCCTTACCACAGTGACTAGAAGGGTGGATGATTGGTGTTATTGTTTGTTTGTTGGTGTATGGGTTTATGAAAGAGCTTGGCCAAGACAGGGAGAGAAAGAGTGAAAGAGATGAATGAGGGAGAGAGAGTGAGATTCTAAAAGAGAAGGTGAGAGGTCACGGGACAGAGAAGAACACCCCAAAAATGGGGGAAAACATGCCACGTGTCACCTTATGAGTGGTCCAAGATGGAGAAATATCTCTTAATGTAAAATTACCTAAATGCGCTTGACGTTTAAAAATTCGTAGAAACTTCATTTTAGCTCCAAAATCAATTTTGCTCGAGTCTATGTGTTCGTATCGACGAGTGCTACGTGAATAAATTAAAAGAACAATTCCTATATGTCATAGAACAAGAGTCAACAGAAGTTAACGTTTTCGTCGTTAGGGGTATTTTCATAATTTAACTAATTAAAATGTAAAATTTAAGACGGGTTGTTACACTTTGTAATCGAATAAGGTCATTTCCAATGAGGCTTATGTCTCCTTCGAGCTAACCTCCACCTTTTATTTAACATCTATAACTTTTGTACTGGCGAAATTCCTTTATGAAGATTTGGCTACGATTAAGCTTTTTCTTCCTTTCTTTGTAGATTTTAGTCTTCTCGTAGGACTCCATATGAATTTCCTCAAGTTTAATGGGTTGTGTAGATGCACAGTACAATTCAGCAACCAAAATTTTTTTTTTATCTGTAGCTGTCTGCCTTGTATCCGAATTCACCAATGTGTTAGAGGGCCTACCTTGTGACTTACTAGATGCTAAATTTGTATGAAACTCCCCTAACACATTAACTCTTAGGTCTTCTTGCAACCTTTCTAGGAAAGATTCTTGTAGCACATAAACTTGGGTATAAATTCTGGGAAGATTGCAGGATCAGCATGTGTTTTTTTTCCTTTGGACCCTCAATCTAGAACGTATATCAAACATGGAATCCATTTGTGGTATTCACGTCAAATCTAAACATGCAAGACTCATTAAGCTTTGTGAAACCCTTTGAAAAACCATGCAACTCTTATCCTAAGTGAAATCACAACTATTAATCATAGAAACGCTACCAATTTTAGGGACAGCCTTTCAACCAAAATTGCATCAAATTACTTTTCTAAATATACTAATGGTGATCAAGCATTAAGACAAATAGATAGTTCAAACACGGTGATTGATAATTCAAAACTTGCATGCATAATATCATAAGTAAATTGAAAAGAAACTAAGGCTCGTGGCCTCACCCTAGCAAAAGAGAATTTGTTACAAATAATCATAAAACAAAAGGAATTTAATTGAAATAGAAAATAATAGAAAACACCT